GGGCCGGCCCACGATATGTGTTTCTTGAAGACAGTATATAGTTAGGTCTTGCTTTTATGATACAGTCTGCCTTTTAATTGGAGCATTTAGACTATTTATATTTAATGTAATTATTTATATGAATATAATTGAGTTTATATCTACCATCTTCCTATTTGGTTTTCTTTATCCTTCTTTTGTTTCTTTTTCCTCTTCTCTTGTCTTATTTTGGATTGAGTATTTGTCATGATTTTCTTTTATCTCTGGTATTGCCTTATTAGCTATCTTATAATTTTTTTTTAATGAGACTCTAGGGTTTACAAATATATGTATTTAACTTTCTACAATTTACCTTCAAGTAATATTACAACACTTAAAATATAGAGTAAGAACCTTACTACTGAATTGTTTCATTTTCTTCCTTTTGCCCTTGGTGCTATTTTTGGGGTGCATTTTTATTTCCATATATATTATGATCCCCACAGCACAACGTAATATTATATGAGACAGATACTAAAATTAAAGAAATTTATTGTATAGTTGACACCTTTTTTTTTTTTTTTTTTTTTTACCAATTCCCAAACTCTTCATTTTGTTGTGTTTGTCCAAATTCTATTTGGTATAACATTCCTTCTGTCTTAAGAACTTCCTTTAATATTTCTTTTAGTGCAGGTCTGCTGGCAATTAATTCTCTAAGTTCTTGCTCATCTGGAATGCAGCTATGCTCACCACTATACCATCAACACTGCCTGGCTCATCCTTGCTTATCTGAAAAGTTCTTATTTTGTCTTCATTTTTAAAAGATATTTTCACTGGGCATGAAATTATAGAATGACAAATTTTTCTGAAAGGTACGACTGCATTATCTTCTGGTGTGTATAGTTTCTGATGAGGAGTCTGTTGTAGCTCTTATCTTTTATCTTCTGTACAAAATGTTGTGTTTTGTTTTTTTCTGGCTGCCTTTGAGATTTTATCTTTGGTTTTGCAGCAGTTTGACTATGATGTGTCTAGGTGTGTGTACGTGTATGTGTTTTTGTATTTATCCCACTGGGTTTTGCAGAGCTTCTTGGAGCTGTGGTTTTGTCTTTGACTAATTTTTGAATATTTTTGGCCATTATCTCTTCAATTTTCTTCTTTATTTCTATTTCTATTTATTCTCTCTATTCTCTCTTTTCCTCTGGTACTCCAATTACATATTTATTAGACCATTTGCTTTTGTCCCACAGTTCTTGGGTATTCTGTTAGTTCTTATTTTCACTCTTCCTACTCTTTCTGTTTCAAGGTGGATAATTTATATTGCTCTATTTTCAAGTTCAGTGATTCCTTACTTTGCTATAAGTAAAAAACAGTTTGCTGATAAACCCATTGAAGGAATTCTTCATCACCTATATTGAGTTTTTCATTTCTAGCATTTGTACTTCACTATCCTTAATAGTTTTCATTGCTTTCCTGAAATTTTCCGTCTGTTCTTGAAAGCCTACCTTTTTCCACTACATACTTTAATATATTCACCATAGTTATTTCAAAGTACCTATATGATAGTTCCAACATTTGGGCCATTCTAGGTCTGTTTTGTGTTTGTTTGTTTGTTTTTCATCTGGCTTCTTTTATCTCTTGACAATGGGTCTTTTCTTTTATTTGATTTTATGTGTCTTACAATCTTTGACTGACTACCAGCCATTGTGTGTAGAGGAACAGTGGTGAGTAAGGTAAATGATATTTATGTCTAGAAATGGAAATATTTTATGTCATGGCTTTAGTGTAGGATGTCAAGTAAATCTAATCTGTAATTGATTTGGGTTTAAGCTTTGTTGTTGCTATAGTTACCTTCTGGATACCACACACTTCAAATTTCTTCAGTGGTGGACTGCCACTACTTTGTTCTTAGTAAGAGGCTTTGAGTCACACGAGGATTTTCCCAGTATTCCTGCTGCGCTCTCAGCCTTGCATGCACGCAATACAGAGGGAATTTCTCTTTGAGTTCTAGCCCCTTCCACAGTGGCAGACTGCTGTTGCTTACTTGGTGCAAGGTTTTTGGTAGAGTCACTGGATTCTTGGTTCTCTTGCTCTAGCTTCAGTCTTAGTATTAAGCCTGAGCCCCAGGAGTGGGGCTTTCTCAGCATTTCTGTGTCTCCTCCAGTTTCCTACAACCTCTGCCTCCTATTCAGTGCAGGTACTAGAGTGCAGGCAGGCTTCCTGTTCTCCACCTCTGTAGGAGCCAAACTCTGTCTTACTGGTGGGGGGATGTTGAGTGTGAGTGAGGTTCCTGCTCTTCTCCCAGCAGCAGCAGCAGACCTCTGCTTTGTTGATACACTAGTGCAGGATCCTGGGCACTAGTGGGTTTCCTGCTCCTTGTTAGTACCTGATGGCTTTTGCTTAGTATCAGTGCAGGCTGGGGGTGGGAGAGTCTTCTACTTCTCCACCAGAGGCAGTAGACATTTGCCTGGTGGCAGGTCAGGAACCTGTGGGATGGGGGTCTCACATCAGAGCAAAGCAGGGTGCAGGTATTTATCTTTCAACAGCAGCCAATCACCACTTTGTACTCCTGTAGGGCGCAGAGCTCATATAGTCTTCTCCAGGTACTCTTCCTCCACCCGTAGACCTTGGCAGGTCCTGCATGCCTATGTCACCATGGGGCCCCACTCAGGTCCTGTCCCACTCCCAGTCATTCTCATGAACGCCCAGTGGAGGACTGTGGCAATAAATTATCTAGTGAGTATGGACTTCCCTTGTGTCTGGGGCTCCCAGGTATTCTAAACTGCCACTGTAGCTCACATTCAGCCATTAAGAATTCATTAAGATATCTGTCGTTTTCTTCTTATCTACTTTTGTGGCAACTACATCTTCTTCCATGCTCTGTCAAAGGTGAAACTGTTGTGTTGTATCTATCAATGGTAATGTGTTCCAATTACCATTAGGAATTAGTTCACTTGGTTTCAAAAGGAGAGAATGGAACTGAGGCCACCAGAGGTAGGAAAGGGGAAGGGGGAGAGAGGCTAGGGAGAAACTGGTAAAGGAACACAAAAAATGTCTACATCGTGTAACGATAAAAGCAACAACAGCAAAGAGGAATTAGTTCACTTGGTTACCTGTGACTTCAGCTCTCCAATGGGCTAAAGAAATTGATTTTGTACATTATTTGGCTTTTTCCATTGTCGTGATGAAAATGGTGTTTTCTATGGCTCTCTTACATCCTCAGTGGAAGTCAAAATCACTTTAATATAGTTTTTATACAGTTTTAAAAAAAGTTCCATTCAGCGTTTCTATTATGACTATATAAATTTTACTCCTTATTAAGTCAAGTTGCATAGCAAAATTACATTTTCTTTCTTGTATACCTTGGTTTTCTTGAAATTAATTGCTTCTTTTTATTTTTCATTTGCAAGCTTTCTATACTCTCAAAATACTTTTCCACATGCTCAAACCCAGTAGATAATACATAAACTAATAGATAGTCCCCTGTTCTCCCTTTCCTCCTCCTCCTTTTTTTCTTCAGGACCTCCCTTCTGCATCCTTCTTTTTTCCCACTCCCTTCTGGACAGGATGTACCCTAGCCCTGCTGTTCAACCATCAACCTGAGGCTTCTCTTCACATATTTTCTGGGATGTGGCTTCACCTTTCCTGTGATGGGATTTCTTAAACCCTATGTCTTCTTTCATGATTTGCTCCTTCGTTTTGTTGGAGCACATCCTCCAGCAGCTCCTTGAGAAAGGGTGCATGTTTCAACATACCCAGTAATCCTTGGTTGACCATTCATCTTTAAGAGTGGAGCACTAAAATTTTAATTGCTTGGCAGGGCTTGGCACCTGGTGAAGCGTCACCAGAAAGTTAGGTCTTCGCCATTTCATTGAGGAACACCAAAACGTCGGTGGCTATAGGATATTTTTCTTGGAATGGGCAATTCTTCAGAGAGGAATTTTCTCCTGCCTCGGGGCATAGTCCTGGCTGCTGCAGCCTTCTGGAAGCTGAGTGGAGGAGGAGGTGGGGAGGAGAGTGCTTATTTTCTATACCAGACTGGCACTCCCTCTTCCCCTCTGATTCTCTATGGCACTCCCTCTCCAGGGAGTGAGCTTTGTGTCGGAGTAGCATTGGGAATTTTAGGGTGGTGAGGAAGGTTCCTGGACACTCTGGGTGGCAGAAGAGATCTGAGGACTAAGCTGGACATTTTAAAGACTCATAACCAACAATCCTCTGTTTTTAGCCTCGTCCTTCATCCCCACTTCAGAGGTTCCTGATGCCTCCAGCTCTCAAGTGCTTCAAGGTTGTGAGGCTTGAACTAGGTGGTTTCTCCTGGTTCCCTTTCCCTCACAACCCTACACCTCTCCCCACTGCAGGCACATGGGCTCCACTTATCATGGTCTGATAAATTGGTTACAGGTGGCCGCTTGCTTTGTAGCCTCCAGAGTTTTGCTGACATCTCTCATCTCTGCTCTTCTTTCCCATTGTTCTGTCTTTGTGGCTTTGTGCCTATTTTATTTATTCACTCTCATTTCGGTGGGGCTTCATGGGGTAGATATGAGTTTGCTATATTTAAGCAGATGTTTACCACTTCATTTTAAAACCAAGGAAAATGAGGGCAGAGAGAGAGATTCTTACCAAAGCCTCACGGTGAGTTAATGACAAGGCTGCATGGGGTTACACTTTGCTGGCTCCCAAGCAACTTCTCCCCGGGTGAGGTCAGGGCCCTCGGGGAACCCTGAGAGAGACCATTTTGTGAGAGGGGGACTGTCTCAGGCAGAGCTGCGAATGGCAGCCAACACTCAGTGATCAAGGATTCTGGAGTCACAGAGACTTGGCTTTAGGCACCTTCAAGCAAAGCAAGAGACTTTGTCCTCTGATGCCCACTGAGCCTCAGTTTCCTCATTTGTGGAATGCAGGAGTAGTGAGGATCAATAAAATGTTGCATGTCCTACCCTTGGGATCTGCCAGATGCCTAGAAATTGGAGGTCACTCTTTTACCATAATGATGATGCATGCATCTTTTCCAGGACAAGAGCCAGTTCTTGGAGGAGACCTGGGCACAGGGCATGGATTGCTGTGGGGCCCTTTTCCTCTGCCTGTGCCTTCTGGCTTTTCAGAATGGGAAAGCAGGTAAGAGGGCCCGTGGCTGTGATATGAAAGGCAGAGGCCTCAGACCAAGGGAGGTTGAAAGAGGGCCACTTAAGCTTCCTGGCGGCAGCAGCATCGGGTAACTAGAAGTCTCAGGCTGGAGATGGAAGGCCCAGAGGCTGTGGGGCCAGAGGGATACTGAGGATGCAGGCCAAGGGGGAGGTCTGACTCTTGCTCCCCACAGAGACATCAGAAGAACTCCTGCAATGGATGGTGAAAATGGAGGGGACCAAGAGCCGGAGGCTGCCCTCTCCTGCTCAGTGAGTTGGGTGCCCTCCTTGCCTGCCTAGAATCAGCTGTGCCTCCACCCCAACTCTGCACCCTGAATCAGTGGCCCAGCACTGGTGCAGTGTAGACTCTTAACTGTTCATTTATTCAGCACGTGTTTATTGAGCACCTACTGTGTGCCCCTGAGTTTATTGTCTAGGGGCCCTATTGTCTACCCATGGATGCCATGAAACCAGGTGCAGAATCGTGGGTCTCTGGCATTTTCTTGGGAAGGGGCTCTAAGACTCTGGATGGGCTCTCCAGGGTCTGTGACCCAAAGACCGATCAGCTCTAGGAGAGAGACTAATGCTGATGACTGGCCAGGGCTAAGAGCCATGACCAGGAAGTACAGGGACACTTCACTCAGTTGGGGGAGGAGCAGTCAGGAAGGCTTCCTGGAGGAGGTGACTGACAGACTGGGACCTGAATAGGAGTTAATCAAGAGACAGGAACGGGTGGGGTGGGGACATAAGAGTGTGCCAGGGACACTGTGTGTGTGAAGGTCTGGAGTGACAAGGGTGTGGGATGGGGAGGCCCTGCCCTCCCAGGCTGTCTAGAGCCTGCTCCCCACCCCCCTCCTGGCTCGGCCCTCTCTGGCCCTCAGGCAGGTTCACATCCTGGAGCAGATGCTGCTGAACACCAGCTTCCAGGGCTACAGCCTGACCTTGCGGACACGCACCATCCAGTCTCTGGCCTTCAAGCTGGGATGCGACTTCACTGGCCTCTCACTGAGTAGTGGCATTCTGGAGCAGGTGCCCCAGGTCAGAGCCAGGGGATGGGGGGGTGGCCAACTGCCTCTGCCCCAGAAACCTTCCTGGGGTTTAAGGTTTGGACTTTCCCCAGGCTCCACTGTCCCTGCTCCCACCTCCAATCCAGGCTCTGCCCTAACTAGCTGCTAGTTGCCTCCTCTTTAGAATGGGGCTGATTTTCCTTGTGTGAATAATGGAAAGGGAGGTGTGTAGCGGCCTCTCCAGGGCAATGTCTTCTTCCTGCTTATGTCTGGAGGTGGGTGGAGAGCAGGTCCCTCGGAGGAAGCAGCCATGGGAGAGGCCAGGGAATCCTGGCTCCTTTTAGGACCCTGGCATGATGCCTGCTGCATGCCTGGCTGGTGCTGGGCGCTGGGTGTGAGAGGGCTCCATCCCGCGGGAGCCCAGTTGGGTGTGGCAAATAACCCCAATTCAAGACATGGAGGGAAGGCCTGGGATCTTGAGAAGTTTGGGAGGAGGCACAGCCTGGGAGGAGAAGTTTCTGTAGTGGAGGCTCTGAGGAAGGAAACACCCAGGGTGAGGCTGGAGAGGTTTTGAGGGGAGTGGGGCTCAGAGAAGGTGTTTGAGCTGGGTCTGCAGGCCTTGGACACCAGGCTCAGCCTGTCTGTGGCTCTCCGCAGGCCATGGCCCGGCACGCCATGCAGTTCCCTGCTGAGCTGACCCAGGATGCCTGCAGGACCCGTCCCAGGGAGCTGCGGCTCATCTGCGTCTACTTCGTCACCACCGACTTTTTCCAGGTCAGTGTGATGGCAGGCCAAGGAGGTGGGTGCCGGTCCCTTCCTGGTGGCACTGCAGGCATCCATGCCACTGCCTGGCCTCTGGATGGGGGCCAGCACCAAGTGGAACAGGCCCACTGTGCAATCTGAGTCAGCCATTGCCCCTCTGTGGTCCTCAGTTTCCCTACTAGCTTTAGCTAAATGGTAGGAAGGCACAATTGCAATCTGCAAGTGAGACTTAAGAAAACTACTATGTGCCTGTCCCTAGGAGGCAGGAGATGACAAGAAGGCACAAGGTCCCTGCCCTCAGAGAACTCTCTATCTTGACACTTAGCCCAGGACCTTAGAGATTTAATGTGAGCGCAAGGTTGATTATAGCCGTAGGGATACAGAGAGATAGATGAAGGGTGGGGTGTTCCCTGTGGGCAGTCCAGGAGGGCTTCTGGAGAAGGTGCCTTTCAACCTTGGCTTTGAAAGAGAGTTAGGATAGTGGTGAGGGGGAGTGTGTGCAGCTGGAATGCATTAAATGATGGGAGGTGGAGCAGGGGCTGTCAGGAGAACAGCTTTCCAGGTGGAGGCGACAGCATACACAAAGGCTGGGAGGTGGCCCACGCAGTGCACGTGAAGGGCGTGCTGTGTTCTCATCCGGGGCGAGGGGCTGGGAAGGAGGGCTCAGAGCTCATCCAGGGTCTCCCACGTCCTCTTCACTCAGCCTGTCTTCTGCTGCATTTCCAGGATGATGACAACTCATCTCTGCTCAACAACCATGTCCTGGGGGCCCAGCTGAGCCACGGACACGTGAACAACCTCAGGGAGCCTGTCAACATTAGCTTCTGGCACAACCAAAGCCTGGTACTGCCGGTGTGCCCCATTTCCACCCCACCCTTGCCCCTCTGGGCTCTCCTGTTGAACATTGATTTGACCAAACCCAAACCTGTGGAACCATCTTGGAAACAAAATGTTTTAAATTCATCACAGTTTGAAAATTTCTGCCAAAGAAACGAGAGAGAAGCTTTTACTCCTTGCATTAGTTAGGATTCTTCCAGTTGCAAGTGACAGAAGATCAACTCAATACAGCTTACACCCAAAAGGGTATTTATTGGCTCACAAAAGTGAAATGTTCAGTGGTATCCAGCTTCAGGCATGGCTGGATCCAGGGGCTGAGACCGTGCCATTACGGCTCAGTCTCTCTTCGTCTCTCAGCAGCAGTTTCCTACCTTGGCTTTCCATTTTGTAGCAAGATGAAGGCTGAAGTGCCAGACTTCCTTCCCCTTTTCCCAACAGGCTCTTCCTCACCAGTGCAAATCAGGGTCCCAGGTTCAGCTGGGTCACATGTCCATCCCTGAACTGGTCACTGTGACCAGGGGGATGGAATGTGTGGATCGGCCAGGCCTGGTCACATGGCCCAGGGACTGGGGTGGAGAAGTGAGCCCTGAAGGAAGTGCAGGTGCTGATACCAGAACAGGGGAGGGCTGCTGGGTGGGCATGAGCCCCAGTGCCTCTGCCTCCCCTTTCCTAGCATTCCTGTAAAGCCCAGAGCCTCTGCTTTCTGGCCGCATCCTCCCTTCAGCCTTATTAGGACTGCTCCATCAGCCTTTCCCTTCAGCCCTCCAGGCTTTGCCACTGCAGTTCCTGCCAGCTGGGATGCCCTTGCTCCACTTTGGTTGAAATCTAACAAGTCCTCTGAAGCCTCAGTGCCCTGATCTCCCTGTCCCTCCTTGGGACACCTCTGCCCGTTCCTCCATGGTTTTCTGTGGCACTGCCTGTGTCGTTTCCCCCACCCCTCCATCCCCATGGCTTGGTGTCAGGGTCATCTGTGGATGAGTCTCTCTCTCCCCAGCTGGGTCTGGGTCTGGACCATCATTCCACAGGGAGAGGAGAGGAAGGGAATAGCTGCTTATAAGGCACCTACTGTATAAAAGGCCAGAGCCAGGCACTCAAAATTCCACATTGCCTTTAATGTTTCTGCCTTGGGTATAAATGACCCCATTTTGCGGGTGAGTAAACTGAGGCTCAGAGAAGCTTGGTGACTTGCTTAGGTCACTGTGAGAGTTCATGGTGGAAGTGGGGCTGGAATCTGGGTCTGGCTGATGCCAAAGCCCAGCCAGTGCCTGGTAAAATATTGACAGTGTGCAGTTGGGTCACCTTTGGTCCCCATGACTCCCAGACCCTGATCTTTGGCCTCATCCCTGTATCCTGCACCCCTTTGACCCCAGCATCTCCCCTCAGGAAGGCTACACAATGACCTGTGTCTTCTGGAAGGAGGGAGCCAGCAAGCACTACTGGGGGACCTGGAGCCCTGAAGGCTGTCACACAGAACAACCCTCACCTTCCCAGGTGCTCTGCCGCTGTGACCACCTCACCTATTTTGCTGTTCTCATGGTATGTGTGCATCCGGCCTGTGTGTAGGGGGGGTCAGAGCTGCAGACAGCCCCGTGCCTTTTGCAGAGGAGCAAGGCAAATGCTGGTGCAAGGGACAGAAAATCCAACTCAAATGGGCTTAAGAAAAAGAAAGAAAGCGAGCGAGAGAGAGTGAGACAGAGAGAGAGAGAAAGCGAGAGAGAGAAACTAATTGGCTCACGTTCAGGCGTGGCTTGATCCAGGGGCTGAATATCACTAAGACCGGACTCTATCTCCGTCCCTCACCTGTGCTTGTTCTGGGCTGGCTCAGCCCTCGGACAGGGTTAATAACATGGCTATTAGCAGTTCCTGGCTCGTGCACTGCTAGCTCTCAGTCCAGTGGAATGAGAGCTTCTCTTACCGAATTCTGCCAGACAAATTCGTGGGATTTGTCCTACTGTGTGTCATGTGCTCATCCCTGAACCAATCGCTATGGGTGGGAGGAGGGAGGGCTCTGATAGGCCAGACCTGGTACACCTGTCTGTCCACAGTGGGTGAATTGGTGGCATAGAGAGTGGGGAGGGGAGGTTCTCATAGAGGAAGGGGAGCCAGGAGTTTCTGTGGGTAAAAATCACCTCCTCTGCTATGGCCTTGTTCAAGCCAGGACTATGGTGGGGCTTGTGGGGAAGGGGACTTGGAGCTGAGGTCTCAGAAGGTCCCTCCAACTGAGCCTGGGAAGGGCATTTCCATGCGTTTGGCCTCCAGCCCCCGTTCCCTCCCACAGCAAATATCTGCAGCCCCAGTCCCTGCAGAGTTGCTGGTGCCTCTCACCTACATCTCCCTGGTGGGCTGCAGCATCTCCATCGTGGCCTCGCTGCTCACCGTCCTGCTGCACTTCCTTCCCAGGTATTCCCCTGCTGCAGTGCCATGCTTGCCCATCCCATTGCTGCTCAACACCCTCCTTCTTTCCCACTTGATGCCCTAGAGGAGGGTGGGCTTCCTCAGAGGGCGGGGGCTGGGAGGCAAGAGACCATCCTCACGGTGTGGCTGCTAATAGGTCTCTGCATCCTCTTGACCTCAGTTTTCCCATCATTGTGCATCTATGAGCCCACGGGTTGGCACTGCTGGGGTGATGTCCCCGGGCCAAGGAGGTTCATGCTCCCACCCACAGGAAGCAGAGTGACTCCATGACACGCATCCACATGAACCTGCACGCCTCCGTGCTACTCCTGAATATCTCCTTCCTGCTGAGCCCCGTGCTGGCCATGTCCCCTGTGCTGGGGTCAGCGTGCACAGCACTGGCCGCCACCCTACACTATGCGCTGCTCAGCTCCCTCACCTGGATGGCCATTGAAGGTTTCAACCTCTACCTCCTCCTGGGGCGCGTCTACAACATCTACATCCGCAGATATGTGCTCAAGCTCTGCGTGCTGGGCTGGGGTAAGCACGGCCCCCTCCCCCTCCTCCTGAGGCCTCCAGCCTGGCAGGGCATGGACCCCTCCTGTCTTCTCTTCCTCCTCCTCCTCATCATAGTGACCACTGTGTGACCACCAGCCATCATACCTGTCAACACCCACCACCACTCTACACAGTAGTCCCCTCCTATCTGTGGGGGACACATTCCAAGACCCCCCGTGGATGCCTGAATCCGCGGATGGTACCGAACCCTATATACTAGTACACTGTGTTTTTCCCTATACGTACATACCTGTGATAAAGTTTAATTTATAAATTAAGCACAGTGAGAGATTAACAGCAATGAGTAATAATCAAATAAAACAATTATAATAATATACTGTAATGGAAGTTATGTGAATGGGGTCTTTCTCACTCTCAGAATATCTTACTGCACTGCACTCACCTGTTTTTGGACCATGGTTGACTGCAGGTAACTGAAGCTACCGAAAGCAAAACCACAGATAAGAGAGAGACTGCTGTGTGCTGCTGTTCTCATCGCGTTTCCACCACCAGCAGCACCTCCACTTCCACCTCCACACCTGTCACCACCTGCACCTCCAACACCACTTTCACCACCTCCATCATCACCACCGTCCTCATTCTCACCTTTGCCACCATCTGTCACCACCACTAGTGCAACCTCCATCACCATCCTAGCCCCTTTCTCTATTATCTCTGCTTCCTCACCCCAGCCCTCTCTCCTATTAGCTCCCCGCCACCACCTCCCCAGTGTGACCACTACTGCTGCCACCACCATTCCACCCTACAGCCATCACTAATGTCATCTTGGAGAAGAGCCTCCTCCAGGACTGCCAGGCTCATTGCTCTGAGGCTGTTCCACATGCCAGGGCTGGAGACTCAGATGGTCTCCTTCCTCCGTCTTCCTTGCCCAGTAGAATTCTGTTTTAGCAGCCCCAGGGACCAAGGGCCAGCCCCTCCCCAAAGTCTCCTGAGCTTTTGTCCCACCCCTCAGGGGTCCCAGCCCTCTTGGTGCTGTTCCTTCTCACTGTCAAGAGCTCAGTGTATGGACCCCGTGTGATCTCCCTCTCCGACAGCCAGGAAAATGGCACAGGCTTCCAGAACATGTCCGTGTGAGTGCACTCAGGGCTGTGGTGGGATCCCTGCCTCTGGCAGAAGGGCCGCATGGGTCGGGGGCTCTAAACCAGGTATCTTGTAGGCAGGGCACTGGCTGTGGGGCAGAGGGAGCTGTGGCCTAGATGAGGGAGCTTTTCAGGGGGCTTTGCCCCATCCCTTCTCTGGATCCGAAGGTCTCCTGCAGGGGCAGGCTTGGGTTCTATGCCGTCTCACTCTAGGATGCCTTCGGGCAGCCTCCAGCAATGGCTCATTGGCCTCCAAGGCCAGGGCAGCCAGGCCTCCTGCCTCCTGGCAGCACAAGGCCTAGCCGCCCTCCAGCTCCCAGCCCTGCTGGTCTAGCTTGGCCTGCGCCTGCCTCTGTTCCCCCTTCAGACCACCTCGCTTCTCTTGCTCTGGCTCCGGCTCCTCCTGACGTGCACCGGGCACATGACTGCCAGGTGCCTCAAGAGGCAAGGAGGGGCAGCAGAGGTGGCTTCAGGGGGCCTGGGGGACAGACTCTGCTACTTTTATAGCCCCTGCTACCTCTCTCCCTGTGCCCTCAGACATGAAGCTTTTTATCATTATGAAACATTTCTATCAGCCAAACATAGAGTAGCATAAGAAACCCCTGCAGACCCGTCACCAGCAGGTGGCTGTGGAACCTTCTTCTTTCTTCCTTGGCTGACACAGCTCAGGATCTTTGAGGGCTGCCTCTGCGGCAGGTCTTGGGTTTTCACCTGCTTAACCCTCACAATAAGGTCCTATTGTCAGCCCTATTTTACAGTTAGGGCAACTGAGGCACAGACAGCTTAAGAACCCTGCAGTCAATGTAGAGCAGGCAGGCTGGCTCCAGAGCCTGTCCCCCAACCACTGCTCCACCCCTCCCAGCCATCAAGTGACGGCTGCTCTCACTGTGAGGGTTGGGCTGGTGTCTCAGAGGACGTGTGCCTCAGGACTCTTTGAAGATGTATTTTATTATAAAATACGTGATGTGGACAGAAGAGCTGAAGTGACACGTCCACAAGACAGGAGGCACATTAATGCATGTACGTCAGAGAACTCCCAGCCCAAGAACGAGCTTCTCCCTGAGTCTTCCTCTTTCTTCCCTCTCCCCTTAGGAAACTATTACCCTGGATTCTGTGATTTACTCTCCGACATTTAAAAAATTGCCTACTGCATATATATGCATCCCTAAACACAAGCAACAATTAAAAAAACCCAAAAAACCCTTGAAAATAATTCAGATATCCACTGATGGGACACTGGATTAATAAATCATGATAGAACCACCACTGTGAGGCTGTTACCTGCAGTGAAAATGAATGATCCACAACTGTATTCATCAACTGGGATGAATCCCAAAAGTAATGTTCGAGGACACTTGTGACTGCAGTGGCAGGAGCCCACTGTGGGAATGTGAGCAGGTGATTGTGACAGTTAGGGGCACAGGGCCTGGGCTCAGGCCATGAGGCTTCAAGTCCCACCTTTGCTTCTTACTAATGTGTGTTCCTGAGCCAGCACCTCAAGTTTCCTCATCTGTAGAATGGGGACAATTGTGTATCTGCTCATGGGGTCACCATGAGGATTGCACAGTATAACCCATGTAAAGCATGTGACAGTGTCCAATGGGTGAAAGGCAGCACCTGTCTTGAAGGTGTCCTGGGGAGGCAAAGGCTGCAAAGCCTCAGGGAGGGCCTGGGACCAGGGCTGGGCCCATCAGCCTTCTCCGGCTATGTGCTTGGTCCCTGCATCTCTGTCTGCTCTGCAGCTCGCGCATGGGGGGCACCCCTCCACCAAGCCGTGAGTTAGCAGCTCATCCACTGCTCAGGGGAGGGCTTGTTGGCACAGTCTAGGTGGGGAGGGGCACTAGGGTGGGTCGTCCTGTTGCACAAGATGGTGATAAGATGTTGACAAGATAGTGACAACCACGTGATGGGGTAGAAGGGGAAGTTTCCAGGAAAGAGGGCCCCAGGCCAATAATCCAATAGAATATTGTACAAGTTAGTGCTGGGCTGGTGTGGGAGAAGCGTTAGACAGATGAGGAAGCGGGGACAGGAAGAGTTTCCAGGTGGGTAAGGGCATGGAGGCATGAGAGGCATCACTGTAGCTGCAAAGGTGGGCAGAAAGGGGACAGAGGTGGCAGGTGGGTCCCATTGTGGTGGCCTGGCTGGAAAGCCTGGCAAGGGGATTTATCATTTATATGGTCAGGCAAGAAACAATGGGATCTGGGGAGTGGAAGAAGCAGTGGGGGAAAAAAAAAGAAGAAGAAGAAAAAGAAAAAATGGGGTCTGAACCAGGAGACCGGGCCAAATTTAAGAAGCAGTCCAGAAGCCTGGGTGACTCCGGCCTGCTTGCCAGCCTTGGAGCCACCCGATCCTGATGCCACCCCATTCCCTGCAGATGCTGGGTGCGGAGCCCTGTGGTGCACCATGTCCTTGTCATGGGCTATGGTGGCCTCACGTCCCTTTTCAACCTGGTGGTGCTGGCCTGGGCACTGAGGGCTCTGCGCAGGCTGCGGGCACGGGAGAAGGTGCCAGGCGCCCGGGCCTGCCGGGACACTGTCACTGTGCTGGGCCTCACTGTGCTGCTGGGCACCACCTGGGCCTTGGCCTTCTTCTCCTTCGGCATCTTCCTGCTGCCCCAGCTCTTCCTCTTCACCATCTTCAACTCGCTGTACGGTAGGGCCTGGGGCCAGCCTGGAGGAAGCCCCAGGGCATATGCATGGCTGATAGGATGTTCACTGCCAAAGGGCTTCAGGGCCAGGGAGTGAGTGGGGGGTGAAATCCAGGCCAGGGCTCCACTTGCCAAACTGGCAGGGGGCTACATCCACCCAGAGGAAGGGGTGCTGCCTTCTAATTTGCACAAGGAGCCCTATGGGCCAGCTAGGATCCCCTAGCTCCTAGGCTGTGCACCTGCTGGCCTCAATAGCAAGGAACTCATGGGCCCCAGGAAGACCCAGCCTACCCCAGCCAAAGAGGTGCCTGGCTTCTGGGTGAGGCCCATGCTGCTCCCTGATGCTCCCACCGACCGGCCTTTTGTTTGCAGGTTTCTTCCTCTTCCTGTGGTTCTGCTCACAGAAGTACCGCTCAGAGGCCCAGGCGGTGGCAGAGATGGAGGCCTTCAGCTCCTCCCAGATGATGCAGTAGTCTGGGCCTTCTGGCCTGGAACCCCCTCAAGCCTCTCTGGCCACCTGCAGCCTGAGGCCCTAGCTCCCACCAGAGAAGGCGGAGGACTGCTGCTGGACACAGAGGCCATCGTGCACCCCAGAGAGACTTTTCTACCTCCATGGCCTTACCCAGCGCAGAGGCCAGGGTGTTACTCTGCCTCCTTGTGATGTCCTGCTCTGGGGCAGGTCCAAACCCACCTGGATGCAGCTAACTTTATCTTGGTGCCTGGGCTCAGCACTGGCCTGGGGAGTCAGGAGGCCATGTTTCAAGGCCTGGCTCTGAGTTACACTGTATGACCTTGGACCTGTAATTTCTCGCTGACCCTGGGTTTCCACATCTGTGACATGGGGGCAAGTGGCTCTGGTCCTGCCTAACCCAGGAGCTTTGTGAAGATTGAATAAGACTAAGAAGGAAGAGTGTCAAGGTGGGGTGGGAATTCCTGTGACCTCCACCTGCCTGCTGCGGGCAGGATCTCAACCAGTCTGCCCTGGAAGCCCCCGCTTGGCCCTGGCACTTCCCATCTGGGGAGGGACAAATGGCATACCAGCCTGGCCCCCAGCCAGTGTCTGAGATCTCACCAGCCTACGCCTCAGGCCTCTTTTCCTCTATCTCCCCAAATTATGATGACTCCAACTCCAAGCCCACCCTTCCCCCAAATCAGGAAGTCCAGTCTTGCCCAGAGGCTTCATATCCACCACCATCACCTCCACCACCTCCACCTCCAAAACCATCACCATCACTTCCACCACCATCACCTCCACCACTTCCACCTCCAATACCATCACCTCCACCACTTTCACCACTACCATCACCCCTTCACCTCCACCTCCAACACCACCATCACCCAAAGATCAAGAAGTCTAGGGCCGGCCCGTGGCTCACTCGGTAGAGTGCAGTGCTAATAACACCAAGGCCACGGGTTCGGATCCTATATAGGGATGGCCGGTTTGCTCACTGGCTGAGCGTGGTGCTGACAACACCAAGCCAAGGGTTAAGATCCCCTTACCGGTCATCTTTAAAAAAAAAAATAAATAAATAAAATAAAATGTGGTTTTACTTAACATGGGCCCTTGTTTTCTTTTTCTCCCACATATTTTTACACAATATAGCTGAATTTATTCTTCATGTGTTAAGTGTAAAAAATATGTTTTCTGATAGAATTTAACATTTATTTGGTTGAAATTGGTTTTTTTTTTTTTTTTTTTTTTTTTTTTTTTTT